GGTTATCTTGAGGTCCCCCGAGAACTTCGTGGCAGAGATGCCCTCGTACTCGGCGGCGATCTCCTCGTAGCACACCTGCTCGGCCAAGCGTTTTTTGTTGGGGGTCGAACCGCACCGTCGATAATTGAGCTACTAAAGCTAATTATCGCTGGCGGCTGCTAAGCTTCTCGGCTGCATCTCCAAGGTAAAGACTCAATTAAGACCCTCCAAACCTCATAGCCGTTCTGGTCCGACACTCCACGGGCCAGCTTGGCCGGTCTCCCTCGCATAAAGGAAAGAAGTATGGGGCGTAGAGTTCTCATACATTCCCTCCACGTACTTTGCGTCCACTACCGACAGGTAGTTCTTCGAACCAGTCACTTTAGGAGTCAATCTCCTGGTCTCGGGTGGCCGGCTTGTAGACGTCCAGCTTCTGCACCAGCGCTGCCTGAGATTCGGCCGCAGCCGCGGTAGCAGCCTCAGCGACCATTGGAAGTGGAGCTTCCCAAAGGTCACCCTGACTTCTAACAAAGGCCCCGGCTGCAAAGTCCCAGCAGTCACCGGCAAATGGCCAGCAACACACAAGCCAAAGGCAGCCCACAAGGCTGCTGTTCCAGGCGATGCCCAGCGCCGCAAGGGTGCACAGCTCCAGGAAGCACCTTGCCCAGCCCACAGCCGGCAAGGAAGCGCACAAGCACGCGAGGAGGCAGATGCCGCACGAGGCAGGCTCACTCTACACAGCGCGAGGGGCGGCTTTGGAGGCACCTGATCTTACAGGCGCTCCGCTACCATGGAAAAGCATCAAAGCACAATTACGCTGCTTTTTCCTCGGAAACGGCTTCAGTTGGTCGCTCGAATCTGCAACTGCTTCTTGCAATGCACTGTACGATAATTATGGCATGCATGCCCTCTAGGGGTGTCCTTCAGCACTAGCAAATTCGCGTGCGCTGAACAGCAAAGCACTTGATGATGACCACGAAACCCTCGCAGCGAAACGTAGCTGCTCACATCTTCTTCTGGAAACATATACAGCACCAGGAAAATCAATCCCTTTCTGCACCGCCCTGGTGGATGGCGCGCAGCTGAGCAATCGGAATCGCGACAAACTCGTAAACAGCTGCTTACACTTCCAGCGTGCGCAAAGCACGACGGCATGCAGTTTGAGAGAGCACTTCTTGAGATGCGTGGCGTGATGATTGCCGCAGCATCGAAGACGCCAGTGGCGCAGAACACACCCGCCCAAGAAAGGAATGAAAGGAGCATGACGTGGCGGAATGCATCGATTCGCATCAATGTTTTCAAACCTAACAGCCGTGGGCCCCATACACTTGCACGTAAGCCAACAATCTCCGGAGCTGCCAAATCTGCAGGCCCCCGGCGCATGAACTGCGACTCGAACCAATCATCACGGCAACGACGCTTCCGTAGATCCAATTGTCCACAACACGAGTTTCGTTGCCTCTGAAACGTCATGGCGGCAGCAGCACATCGACACAGATCTGCCTCAATCGGAAATGCTGGCTTGGGAAGAGGGCTGCCACCTCACGCCCCCCCCACCCTGTCTAACCCCCCTGCTCCACCGTAGAGGGTCGGCGCCTCCGCCATACACTCCAGGTCAGCAGTAGGTCAGCGTTCACCAAGTCACCACCGCCGAGCTGGTGGCACCATTCCTGGTTCCTGGGCGCCCCTGCGTTAGCCTGGCAAAACACGGCCCCTGATGCCGGCATTGTTTGCCTTGGCATCGCCCGGCTATCCTCGATGATGTGTGCGTGACTTCACCATTTCCTTGCGCGACGCCATGTTCTGGGCAGGCTGCAGCACCACGTGGGGACGTATCCAACATCGGGCAACTCAACCCCTGCAAGACCCACGTGTGGAACGCAGCCAGCATTCGGCCCGAATCGCTGCTGTTTTGTGCCTTCGATGCGCAGCCTTCATGTCGGACATGCGGAACTGCTTGAACCTGCCCGCTAGGCCGTTGCACAGCTCGACGTTGAGACCATATTACAATCCGGCCGCATGCTTCCGGACCTTCCAGTTGCTTGGCTGCTGCTGTATTGTGCTGTGCCCCGCGCGCAGCACATTCTCGGGATTGTGCCGCCTCCAGCAGCGAGGGTATCTCGGCTGCGGATGGCTGCGGCTGCACATGACCGCTCCGTTCCTAGCTGCCTTGCAAGACTCTTGCGTGTTGAGTCCGCCGGCGAGTTCTTGGCCAACGAGCTCGTGTGCGCCCGCGCCCAGCTCAGCCTCCAGCACGTTGGACTTGGTCCGCGCTGACTACGCGTCTTGGCCCCGCAAGACATCGCGACACCAGCTCATGCACACTCCCTCCCCGTTGCCAGGGCATGCGGGTGGCCAGCCTGTCGTTCTGACTCGTGGATGGCAGTGTGGTGCGTCCACCGATACCGCCTTCGTCGCTTCTCTCACGAGCAGGTTTGATGCTTCGTCGAAGGTCTTCTGGAATCCCAGTCCGGATTTTGTAGCCAGAGTCTTCAAAGCCGTGTCAACTAAATAGGAGCGGATAAGAAAAAATGATTTCAGTGGCTCGTACGCCAGCTTGCATTTGTGCAGGCGCATTTGGGTGGACCGGGTTGCAGTCTGCGTAGCACATTCCAGCCTTCCCACCGTCCGTGTCGACAGCGTGTCGACAGCGTCAACGAAATGCTATGATTTGTTCTCACTTTCCCGTCCGGTTCGGCTTATAACAGGGCAAAAGGTTTCGAGGGGTTGTGTTCGCGCGCGCCTGTGGGGAGCAACGCCGCAGATGTGTTCGTGTGCACCTCGGAGTGCGAAGAAACGATGGGGGCACGATGCGTCTATGCATTCATGAGAGTGGGCAGCGTTGACCCTGGACTTTCGACAGCCCCGAGACTCATCTGAAAGCGCGCCCGCCCATGACAAAGCACCGGCGTCGCACCCGTGGAAGCTGTTTTTCCTCGCGACACGTATTCTTCGCGACAAACTGTTTGTGACGGGGAGATACGTTGTTGTGGCGGCCTTGTGGAATGTGACGCGCGGCGGAGCGGCAGGGTTGACTGGCGTGCGAGCAAAGCATATGAGTATCTTGCTTTAGGACCAGCCACCAGCCACCCCTAGAGCTTGTCGCACATGCCGCAACGCGGCTGGCGAACTGCCAGAAGTGGCCGTAGCTCGATTCACAGCTTTTCGCAATCCAGATGGTGACGTGCGCGGCATAGCGACAGGCGACGCGTTCCGCCGCCCGGGCAAACACCTTCGACAAAACCACTCGCCCGGACCAGTTTGCTTTGCAGGCGCGAGCGGGCACGGATGCACTGGCGGCCCATGTCCGTGTGGCCTTGGACCAGGACCCAAACCAGGTGTTGGTGTTGCGGGATGGGCAGCGCCTACCACACGATCTCGCGCACTTCAGTTTTTAGCGGCGGTGAAGTCCGTCGCGCCCGATCTCGTCCCCTGCGTGAGCTTCTTGTATGATTGTTCTTCCACATACTCCTGGTGGGACGATTCGGGGCGTACCTCCAAGCGGCTCCTTGCGCTCCTGGATATAACCAGCACTTCCTAACTACGCGGGAGCGCTCGCGACACCCTGGTGCAGGCAATGCAGGCAGGATGCGGCATAGCCTCCAATGATGGCAAAACACGGGTGTACAGCTATGCCGGAGGTAAGCCCCCACCAGGAATCGCTGAGCTGGGCGCAAACGTCTGGCGGGGAAATGCTGTCTTGAGGCAACACCCGGGAACTTTTGAGCGAATTGCGTCGCTTGCAGGGCCGAGCACGCGCGGCGCATGCACTCGTTGTCTTCAGTTGGGGACTGACAAAGGCTCGGGCGATTGGCCACATGGCTGGCAGCACAGTGCGTCGTGAACTCGCAATCTTCATTGCCGTGGGTGCACGTTGCTAGCAGCCTTGCTACAAAGCGCCTGCGCGCTTTGGCATTCCCATGCCGGGCCGCACGCTGGTGTGTGGCTGACTGCCAGACCGGAGCCACCACACTCACACTCCCTTCGCAAGCAATGCAGCTCGCCATAGCTCGCCTTATGCCGCCGCCTACGTCGCCCGGGGCGTCGCTGAATTTTGTAGTTTTTGTTGATGTATGGAGCAACACCCATAAGAGGGGCGCTGTGCCGTGATGCGACCCGGGTGTCGCCGCTGACCCGGACGGGCCAGCCGCAACCCTGCATTGCAGCGCACAACGGCGCCATGCAAGCGAACCGCTTACCCCGAGCTCTGTGCAGGCAGTCCGCAGCGGCTCCTCGTGCTTGTCTGAGGGGATCTGAGGGGTCATGCAGAAGTCGCTGGAGCGATGTGGGGCCAGCGGCTCGCTGGCCGCACTGCCATGCGTGACGCTTCTCGTCAACCAGCAAGCAAGGGACTGGGTGGCACGATTTTAACATTGGGCATCATTGGGCACTGTTGGCGGGTGGTGGGGTTGCTGGAGCTGCGACCACACGGGCTAACGTCCACACTGTTGAGCGGCACCTGGGTGCACAGCGAAGCACAGCCAACTCTGAGTGAAGTTGCGGAGCAGTCGAACCCCAGGTTTTTGGGCTACGCGCCAGCGGCATATGGCTGCGAAAATGAACGTCCGACAACAAAAGGTGGACAGCACGAACCGTTACCACGCGGATAGAAAAACGCTGAGGTGCTCAAGGTGGTTCCCGGCAACATTTACATAGCGTCTGCGTATCATGATCGGCTACATGATGCTGCAGGCATGGCATGTTTTTTTTTTGCACCCTCGTTTGCCCGTCGACCCAGACTTGGACCGCGACCTGGCGGAGCCGGCAGAGCACAGTCGCTTTCCGATTCACATGATTCACTGACCTCAGTTACAGCGCTCTAGCTGCTGGTGAAAACTAATATTTGCAAGGTCCTGTAAGCGAGTTGCGGGTCGAGACGGCTTCCATGATGTTGCTATGCAGTGGACAGCTACTCGACTTTTTGGCATGGTAGAATGTAGCATCTTGACACCCAACTACGTTGTCCAAGCGGGGTGTGAATGAGTGTATGGATTCTCATTTCCTTCAACGGATTCAGCAACATGTTCGCAAATCGATTGGTAGCCCCATCGGAAGCCGCGAGTTCATGTGCCCCACCTGCAGTCCGCGTGGTTATTCTTCCAGTAAATCGCAGCTCCCCGTTGCACGTATACCTGCTGCGAGCGTTGCCGCCGGCCGACACCGCAGACCTCGCAGCTTCCCACGATGCCGTTATCCGACGTTGCCTCGCTCAGATGCTGGCGGGTGGCGATGGCGACATGCCGGTCTCGGAGCTCAGCCGAGCCCAACTCCCCTTGAGCTGGGAGGGCTGGGACAGGGCTCCGCCAAGCAGCAACATCACGCTGCCTACTGGAGCTTTTGGGCGGACACCGTCCGAGCGCTGCGGCAACACCTACAGTTCTGGCCGCCCTTCTCCGGCCGCTGCCCAGCGGAACCCGCCAGCACGCGAGCAGCGGAACTGCCCGCTTCCTACGCTCAGAAGGCTTCCCTGCGCCAACCTGGGCGAAAGGGTCCCAGGAGAAAGACCGGGATGGCAGCGAACGGCATCCAAAGCCCTGCGCAAGCGCGCGCTCGAGACGCTTTCCACCGAGCTGGACCCCACGTCTCGAGCGCTGCTGCTGTCGCAAGGCGGCGATGCGGCGAGCTGTGCCTTCACGGCTTTCCCAACGAGCTCCGACACCCGCGTGCCGAACGAGGAGTTCCGAGTCATGCTGCTCCGCAGACTCCGCCCACCTCTCCCGCTCGCCCCGTGTACGGCGACCACATGCGACCACCGGTCGGCCTGCGCCCAGGTCGGAGTCCCAGCGCGGAGTGCTGGGCCATGCTGGGCCCTTGGAGCGGGCAGCGGCTCGCATTTGCAGGGAGGCCAGTGCCCGTGTCGCATCGCGTCCTCGACGTACCCGCGAGCGATGGACGCCGCATAGAGGTGGTCGCCCTATGGCAGGGCCCTGAGGTCGCCGTGGACGCAACCGTCGTGAGCCCGGTCCGTCGAGATGGCCAACCCCGCCCGCGGGCTGACCAACAACCGGCCCCCGCTTTGGCACAGCGCAAACGCTGGACTTACCCAAAACTGAGGCAGCTCCAACAGCGAGCACGCATGCGCGCGCAGGGCGGCGAACGGTGCAAGCGCCGTCCAGCGGTGCATCATGGCTCGTTGCGCCCCGGCCGCACACCACGGCGCTCTTTGGCGGGCCCGCGCATTGGCGAGGAGTGGCAGGAAGGTGAGTGTGGTCCCGCTGATGCGTCCCCCGACCTCGATGCCGAAGACGGCCAGCGGGCAGCACCGGTCCCTCCGGGTGGGTTGCTTGAAACAGTGTCATCAACAAGTCATTTGAGCATTGTTCGGGCAGAGCAAACCACGGCATTCTCGATTGGTGAAACCTTTGTCGATGTGCTAGTGCGGCCAAGAGGTTTCAGTACAAGCTCTTGCTGTGAACGATTGAACGCTGTGAAGCTTTATCTCCGTGACTATTGGGTCCAAAGTTGCAGTTCATGCGCCGGTCGCCGGTAGAGTTGGCGGCTCCGGAATGTGTTGGCCTAAGTTCAAGTCATGGGGCGTAGCCTTATCGGGTCCACAATGGCTTGTTCAGCAAAAGCCGGTGGACAGTGCGCTGTGTGTCGTCACGTGCCCATGGTCACGGTGGTGTGTCTCGTTGTGCCTCGCTGTTGAACTGCAATGAGTTCTGATTGCAGGGGCAAGGGGGCACCACCAGAATTTCTGACAACTTTATGATGTGATTAAGCTGATCGTGTGCGGCCTGGCAAGACTACGTTTGTGCAGGGTGGCCTCCCTTGCAAAGCAATGCGAGCTGATCGCTTGAGATCATGGCTTTGGCGGTAGCCTCAGGCTGTATAGCAGCTGGTACAGGTAGGTTTGCAACATTTTTTCTGCAGCTGGCAATCTTGAACCCCAGGTGCTGAAGGCTAATGTCGCTGGAGATGGACCGCGACCCAGGAGCTTCTGCCTTGGCATTCTGGCACATAATGACACAGCAGGCAGCTCCGCTCCAAATTTCGACAATTTTCAGGTTTTGGTTTGTGTTCGCACCAAGGTCAGGGTCGGCCCGCCACCAGCCCAGCAGCCCCGGCAGCCGCGGCAGTTTGTGGCCGCCTCGATGGGATTCTCGACATAGCCTTTTGCAGGGACTTCCCAGCCCAGGCTCCTCGAAGACGGAGTTCACCTTGGTGAACACGCCGCATCCCGGGTCGCGGTATGCCCTATAGCCCGCTGCTTTTTCTGCCTTGCACTGGCATGCTGCTGGCATTGCGCAAGTCCAGGCCACGCGAAGTTGTCATTCGCTCCAGATGCCTGCGTGAAACTTATGTTTCACGCTATGGTTGGACACCTGGAGGCCTGGAGGTTGGCCGTCCGTGCATGGTTCGAGGATGCAACGTGGTTCTGCGGGCCCTCGGCGAGTCGTTCTCCCTCGTGAGCTGGTTCCGGCGTGGGGCTAGGGCGTAATGTGCTGATTGCTGTCTTCTGTTTGTGAGTCGCGAGGTCGGCAGCCGTGTGGAGCACGACAACAGCGGCCAAGTACCGAGAGCAAAAGACCGGACTTAAAGATCGTCGGATGCATTCAATCTACTTGGTTCAACGCAAGGTGAAGCTTGCACAAGCAAGTCAAGGCCAGTGCTACAAAATGCAGCAACCAGGCAATTTCGGCTAACCATTCCGAGGTGTGTCAGAGCGACTCTTTTTGTGGGCGATGGTTTGTGCAATCCTTGGCTCGGCCCAAATTCGCAAAACGTTACGGGATCTTGTTGCACTTAGGCAAACGGTGCCCGTGGAGCTGGCGTTTGGCTTGGCGTACCGAAGGCTGGGTTGATCGAGTTGGCGTGGCGAGAGCAAAGGTCTCAGCCCAACGTGTCGCAAAGCGACAAGTTGTTGGTCGAGCAGGCGGGCGCCTTTTCGAAACATATCGAATCATGTCTAATCATGTTCTTTTCGGTTCGCTCGGCTGACTGGGAAGTGAATCGATCGCTGGTGCTTGCGGTCCAGGTGCTGGCCCCCCTGTCGCGGACAAGGATGGTCTGGCAGAGCGCTTTGCTTCCATGTTCCATGGTCTCATGAAGGATGCTTTGCGTCACGATGTGCCTCCTCTGACACCTGAACTGCGTGCAGCATTGCGCTCAGCAGGGCTTGGCGGACGTTTAGCGCCTGATTTGGCTATTGCTCGCTGGCGTCAAGCCTTCTGGTGCAACATCAAGCAGTAGTCGGCAGGATCTCAAGCAGAAGTTGGACAGCTTGGTTTCAGTGTGCCGCACCGATTTCAAGGCATGGCACGCAATGAGGACACGCAGAGCACACAGCTTTGGCACTAATTTGTGTGGGTGCGAAAGGCACATCCGCGCAGCGTGCGCTTCTTTCTTAGGGAGCTCTGGGAGGTGTGCCAACTGTGCGGTTCTGAGAATTCTCGGCAGTCACACCCGCGAAGCTGTGCGGCTTAATTTAGGCTGAAAGTTCCTTGTCTTCCTCGGCCTTACAGGCGTTGGCTGTGGTCGGCTGTCACGGTCCGTGTCATCTCGATGTGTTGTTTGCAGGAAAAACCTTGCCGGCCCGCTGCAACAATTTGTAGAGTGCCCAGAACGTTGGTCCTTGCGGCACATAATTTCAACATCTCTTCGTGCCCCTGTGAAAACAGCGGAAGAAGTGAGCCATGACAGTTGCGATGAAGCAGGACACGTGTCCAGCACAGACTTCTGATGGATTGATGAAGACTTCTGCAGGCATTTGTTGTTGGTGTGCTGTCAAAGGCAGTGTGCTGAGATGACGTAGAGGACAGGTGCCATGGCTCACAGCATTGGCCACATCCTCGCCGATTTTCAGGGCCTCGAATACGGAACAGATTATCTGACGCTGTCAAAAGGCGATCTTGTCAGCCTGTGCCCTTCTCCCAGCGCTGAAGGTTGGAGCTTCGGAATTCAGGTGAAAGACGGACGCAGCGGATGGTTCCCATCTCAGTTCTGGGCACCGGGACCCTGCGGCACTTCCGACCTCGGTGGGGGCTCTTCAGAAAACATCTATGACAAGGCCTTCTTGGTGTCAGTGCGACATTTAGTTGGTAGTGGTCTACAGTGTGATGTCCCATCCACCATGAGCGACGCCAAGATCAGAACCTTGGTCTCGCGACAGCAGAAGAAGCAGCAGCCGGATTGTCTCAAAGCCATGGTCTTGTTGGTTGAGGCGGCAGGTGGAAGTGTGCGGCTTGGAAACTTGGCGGCGGCCTGCATTGCTCTTTCAATCATGTCAGGCACGCATAAACAGGTGTACCAGGACGTGCTGAACCTGGTTCAACGATCTCCCGAGTTTTTCGAACCAGTGGAAACGGCTTCGCAGAAAAGCTTGCGCCAAGTCCTGATCTGCCTGGCTGGTTCTGCCGTTGTGTCGGCTCCTGATTGTATTCCGGAATTTACGGAATTTGATGTTGGGGGCAGCCAATCAGATGCTCCTGCGATAGCAGACATGCAGATGCCAAGCTTTCCTCTGCGTGCGTGAGAGCCAAGCTAGTCGCGCCAGCGGAAGAATTTTCTCAGACTCAGCGAATCAATGTTTCCTGTTTCACCCTGCAAATGTTCGCAGCACCGACAGCCGTGGAAGGTGCTCGCGAAGTTCCAACACAAAGACATGACGAGTTTGTGTGAGGAATTTGTTGTGACAGTCGCCACTGTCTTGATACTGCAGCTGATGATAACTGTGTACTCGGCTCTCTCTCAAGGTCTTGAACATTCCTAACTGGCTTCCGGCCGATTTAGCTCCTTCCAGCGCTGAATTGCTGATGGCTCGGGTGCTGTTGAGCAGAGGATGCATTTCCTCCGCCCCGGTTCCCTGAGGTCGGAGGATTCCTTCATCACGCTCACAGCGAGATCCTCAAGCTTCCAGTGCCTGATCAGCAGGCGCTTCTGTTTGGACTTGCATGTTCAGCAGCATCAAGAGGTCATGTTAGCGCTGGACTCTATCCCCTGGGAGTTCAAGTTTAACCAGAGACTTGACAGCAATGCGGTTGGCTTTTACCGCTTGTGCCGGCTTGATCACATTCATTTTGTCACACCCTTCCCCTGAGACACGTGAACAAGAACAACCTCCAATCTGAGAGCAGTGCAGAAGTGCAAAACTTGTGATGCTGCGGAAGTCTGCCAGGGTCCACTGCGAATAATTGCTTGCTTTGTTGGGCTACAGGTTGTGTGGCCTTCGTCATCCATGCTCCATTCCGACGGTTTGCACTGTTTATGCAACCAAAAAGCTATGCACGAGGGTTGCGTGCCTTCTTGCAGTGTTAAACAGCCACCGCATTGCTAGCCTCCTGCTGTCCAACAGGATGAAGGAACGGGTGCCTGGATGAATGGCTGGATGGATGGTGGATGGACGGATGTGGATGTTTGAGATGATGTCGCTGATTTGATCCAGCCAGACGTGGGTTGCGAGCCACGGCCATTGTACAGCGATCAAGAAGCAAACTTCTGACACGTGCGGTTTCTTCTGTGTTTCGGCAAAGAAGCCTTCACGTGTGGCCACTGCACGGGAAGGATGACTGTTTGTGGGGCTGCTGCTCTGGAATGACCACAATGCAGATGAAGTTCTCTGCACTTCAATCGAAATTGCAAGATGTTTTCGGAGCAGTACAAGTAGTAGCAGCAGGAGCAGTACTAGTAGTAGTAGTAGTAGTAGTAGTAGTAGTAGCAGTAGTAGTAGTAGTTCTGGTAGTAGTGATGGTAGTGGTGGTAGTAGTAGTAGTAGCAGTAGTAGTCGTGGTAGTAGTAGTAGTCGTCGTCGTGCGAGTACTCGTACTAGTACTAGTACTAGCAAGCCCAATGTCAAAAAAAAGTATTAGTACTAGTACTAGTACTAGTAGTAGTACTCACTCACGATCGCCATATCGTCCGACTCGATACGTAGCGGGGACAGACCTGTGGTCCGGCGATTTGGTATCGCACCATAATTTTATGGTTCCACATAAAATGCATACCGCAAAAGGAGTTGCTCACACGGCCACCGGGAAAAGGCCACCTAATCCATCTGGTTCAGATCACATACAGAAGAGCTGTCACCTCGTATCATCTGCGTGCTGCTATGTACAGCGTCAGAAACACTCTCGACGGATTGTTCCGCAACGTTGCCAAACAACATCGCGCAATCAATCTGCCCTTCCCCTCGATCGCCATCCAATGTACTGCCAGCTATGCCTGAAGCCAGGGTCGGAACAGCAGAGGAGCTCGCCGCAACAGAGGTAGTAGCCGAAGGCAACGTGGCTTCCTGGGTAGTCGCAGCAGAGTGGCCTGGACCAGAGCTTGTCATCACCGCCTCCGAGCCAAGTCCTGACTGTAGCAGCCCAGGTGCTGATGTAGGCACAGGCACTGGCACAGGCACTGATTGCGGAGCTCGGCGATGACACCGAACCGTATGCTGAACTCCCATAGATCCACGACAGGTAGAGCAGCAGTGTAGATGCAATCCCCGAGCAAGCCTACCGCAGCCCTGGGTACCACAAAGAAAAACATGGTTGCTGAAATTCTCCATGGCATCTTGCTCAACAAGACGCTGAGCTCTCTGCAGTCGTGTGCATCTGCTAGTGTGGCCGGCCTGTTGTCGACAGCCAGTGCAGCAGTGCCGATGATGCGAGGGGTATCTGAAAGAGCAGCCCGGGGTGCTGCACAGTCGTAAGCCGAAGTTGCTTACTCCGCTCGCCGTGGCCATGTGGCCTGGGCGAACACAGGGGCATCGCGGTACACAGCAAGGTTGCAGAGGCTAGCTCAGCAACAAGTCAGCGACTACTGTGCATTGACCGACTGCCTGCTGCAGAGGGATGGCTGCTCTGCTCTCGATCTTTCGACAAAGCGCTGTCTGCACACCCGAACTCACAATTGGAGCCGAGGCATAGTGATCGACGGTCCCCCCGTCGGCTAAGGCTCACAGGTGGCAGACCCCTGAGGTCAAGAATGTCCCTACTCGGCATAGCACAGTGCCAAAGAAGCAATATGATGCTGTGCACTTCAAGGTCTCAGGAACCCAGCGTGGTAGAAGTGTCAAGCCGAGGAGGATCTAGGCAGTGGCTGCCGGGACTACAAACCCTAAAACCCGAAGGCGTTCACCAATGTTCGCGGGGAGGGCAGTGAAGTGCGATACGCAATAAGCGATCATCACAATTCGGGTGCCGCCAGACCAACTGCAGGTAGAGTGCAGGCACCGCTTAGCATCAAAGGTGACCGCCTTGGCACTCGTCTGGAAAACCTCGCCGGCGTAGATGGTGTCCCCCACCTCCGCAAAGCAATCACCATCCTGGTTGGCAATCCAGATCCCACCCTGATCATGGTTGGAAAGCCCAACGAGCAAACTGCGACCTTCGCGGTTTCCCCGATCCAGATGTGGTTCGCACACATCATCCAGGGTCAGTGTCAAGCTGGTCCATTCATGCAGAGGGAGCACTTCACTTACCATGTGGTTCAAGAGCCTGCAGACATTGGCGTGGTGCGGCGTTGCGCGTGTCAGGCCGCGTAGTCCGCCCTTAGCAAAGAGTCCCAAGGTGAAGGATTGTCCATTGGCAAAGGCCCGCGGATCCTTGTCCCACCGCAGGAGCTGGACCACGGACCTTACCGCTGCCCAGACAGAGCCCTTGGCCTCGCTCAGCGTATGCCAGGCCAGCTGTTCCGCCGGAGGCGCGGCGTCATCCATGGCCCCAATCGGCCTAGGCAAGTCGACAATGACTTGGCCGGTGATGGCAGAGTCAAGCGCCTCAGCATACAGCAAGAAGGAGCTGCCACATCACAAAGGTGTTTGTGGGCCAGGGCAATGAGATCATTGCGAGTGGCCATCGTCGCCGCAGGAGGACACAGGTCACCTACCGACGTCCCGCTCAGACGGCGGTAGGCTCCCAGCAGGAGCTGTTCTTCAAGCGCAGCGAGGTAGAGATGGCCCGGCAGTTCAACAGCCGAGGCAGTCATGGCCAATCAAAGCGGACACCCTACGGACAAAAACACACAACCACTAGCCTAAAGGATCAAGCCGGCGGTCTGCATGGCACGGCATGTAGCAAGGACAGAGTAGAGAAGGTGTCTCAGGCACCGGCAGATATGAGGTGAAGCGCTGGCACGAGTGCCCACGGGAGCAGTGGGCTCCGCACGCCCACTGACTGAAGCCCAGAGCAAAAGAAAAGCTGCATCAGGCTGGTAAATGGTTCAGATCCTTGCAGACAGCGGTGGCTACTGTGCAGGATGGCATTGGTGCGAGCAACGAACAAACAAAAATATCAAAGGCATCGGGCAGCTTCCAATTTTCACGGCTTAGACCGACATCAGAAACCGTTGGAACATCAAGCTACGCTTCGGTAGCGACTAGTGCATTCACACATGGTGTGGGTGGGTGCTAGCCCTGATGCGGGACCGCCCGCAGCAAGCCTACAAGATAGGCATTGTGTAGGATGTCCCGCAAATCCGCCGAGGCGGCACGTTTCGGCAAGTGGCCATCATCACATATCTGATAGGCCCATTCCGAGTGGTGTTCCGAGGATGATGGTACACTGAGCGCAACCTTATAGTGGCCCTCCTGCAAGGTCGCCCCAAGATGGTACACTACATATGCCACTCGAAACTGGCGATGCAAAAGATCTACACTGTCCGAATCAGCAAAAACCGGCAGCGCAAGGGCAGCACCTGGCTCAATTTGCACTGGGGATGTGTCCTTGAATGGAGAACCCCGTGCACTGGCATACCGTCTAAGCTGCAACATCACGACACCACTATGCCGTTGCAGAGCATGTATGGCTGGTTGCACAGACCACCTATCCAACAGCGACTGTAAGTCCCCGCCTTGCACATCCAACAAAATCGGGGAGCACAGCGGGCCCACCTGTGCCACATGGAAGGGGCTTCGCAGCAGAGTTGAGGTAGCAGATGGTGTGTGGATTCTGTAGCTTGGCCGGAAGTTGCTCTACAACTGGAAGGAACCCCTAGGGGCTACCGGGCAATCTCTAAGCACACTCGCAGAGGGCTCAACAGTTAGGGGTCTTGGCAAATGTCGAGAACTCAGGTCTCCTTCTGCTTGGGCTTCCACTGCTGCGGCCGCCGGCTCCAGTCCGTGAAAGGGACTCCGAGGTAGGCTTCCGTCAGCGCCCGGGCCGCAACCGAGGTCTGTGCTCTTTCCGGGCGCAGCCGCAGGCCAAGCATGTTCAAGGCGCCGTTGTAGGTGAGGGCCTGGAGGGCATCGTAGCATTCCGTGGCCTCCTTGCCTCGAAGGCTGAGCGAGACCATGAATGGCACCACCTCGCTCGTCGTGTCCTGGCCGAGCTGGTGGGTGGACTTGAAACGAAGGAGAGTGGTCGGTTGGGCACAGCCCGCTTCCAGATTGGCCAGGTGCTTGAGGAGGGAATCCTGATCCAGAGGCTCGCGTTCCGACACCACCTGGCGTTGTGCCGCCGGGTCCCACCTGAAGTAGTGCCAGCGGTGAGCTGCCGGATTGGTGCCGTCTTCGATCCAGCCCACCTTCAGCAGTCGTCCTCTCATGTCGGGGTCCGTCTGGATGAGCGTCACAGCTTCCCGAAGTTTGCGAAGCAAGCCGCAGAAGAGGACCACGCGGAGGCTCGTCGTGACCTTCCCTTGTGAGAACTGGTGTTGCCAGTTCTGCGCAACCTCCTTGAGCGTCTGAAGGGTGTTGGCCTCGCTCACGCTGTCCACAAAGAGCATGAAATTGCAATCTGCTCTGAGTCGGCTCACGTCTTCGTCCAGACGGAGGGTCGCTTTCACGAGGGTGCGAATCAGGTGCACCGTCGCCGAATCCAGCCCGCCCCCCTCGTGGCTCGAGGATGCCTGCTCCTCCCAGCGTTGCCACGCATTCCAAGGCTGACCCTTCCCCTGTCTGCCCTTGTATGCAGGCTTGTTCCACTTGTCGGGGCGTTCCAGGTCCTTCTCCTCCTCCGGTGGACGTTTGTGGTCCACGGTCGGAGACGGCCCAAGCTGCATCGGCAGTCCCTCCTTCTGCAAGGCTCCAGCCCAAACGTCGTTGATCTCCTGGGCGGCCACCGTGCGCCTCTGGTCCTCTTCCATCGCCATCCTGTGCGAGAACGAGTGACGTCAGTGCAGACTGGAAGAGCACAGGGCATCTACGAATATGGGTGCGGGGGTCCTTGTAAGCTTCCCCGCAGTACGCGCAGGGATCGGTGGCAAGCAGGCCCGCTGTTGAGCAAAGGCTTCGGCATCGGCTTTCAGTCGCCAGTGCTCGGGATGCATGAGTCTGATGTGCTGCTTTGCCCCCGGCCCCTTAAGCGATAGCCACTGGTTACAGAAAGAACAGTGAGCCCTAAGCTTTTGCAGCGTGGCAGTGTCACGGATCACATGTCGCCAGCCTCGTGCTAGCAGCTGCCGATAGGAGCGCTGCTCGAAAAGCGGGGTGTCATCCGCTTCAGCAAAAGTATCAGGCATAAGCCACCCCTTAGCATTCTGGGCAGCCCGGCACGAGTGCCAAATTTCAATATTCGTGGTTTTGAAGCGAAATGAAAAAATGGAGCTGCCACAGTTATTTCTGACAAGGTAGCCCGGCGCAACCAGGCCTTGCTCAGGCCCTTCACCGATTCAAGATGTAAAATGACACTTGGTTTGCCAAACAAACGTGTAGGCCTTCACGCGAGGCTTGTCCAACAAGGCTCTGCGGTTGGAGGAATTGCCCAGTGACACATTACGATTGGACCGCCAATGTACCCACACGAACAGTTTTGATGTTAGGGGGCACGCGGCATGGATTGAAGAGTTCGTCGCAAAAATTACAAATCTATCAAGCAAAAATTCCAACATTTCCATTATATACATGCTCGTGTCTTCACTGTTCAACGAGGCAGAGATAGGCAAACACATCGCGGTTTTCTCAACTCGGCAAGCACTCGGCGGTGAATGCGAGAGCAACTAACAACTGCTTCGCAGCTGAGGCTGCTGGCTAAAGACGCCAGCAGCGATTACTCAGGTCAGTACCTAGGTGCTTGTGACGCATGTGCGAAGCTTAAGGGCTCTGGCTGCTGCGCAGCGATTACTCACCAGGCACGACACATCACACAACCTTCTTATAAACTTGCAACGCATCGAGCACCTCGCACCATATGTATGTATTTCCCCATAGGCCCTCGCTTCGCATCAGGCACGGTGACCGCAAGAAGCATCCATGGTTCCACGATGCTTACTTCTTCAAGTATTTCGCGATCCTGCTGGATTCAGCGGGATCCGGCTCGGTGTCCTTCTTTCGTCTCTTTGCCGGAGCTTTGGCAGACGCGGCCTGAGGCAATCGGAATCTGGGTCATGCGGAGCTTCAAAACCTAGCAACCTGCATCCTGCAAACGCAACTTCAACTGGAAGCAAACACAATAGTCCTAACCAATGCATACCTGAAGACCCGCAGCCCTGACCACTCCCTCACCCATTCATAGTCCATGATAGTGATAATACCCTGCATTCTGATGGCCTTGGGCTCCTTCTCCTTTCTGGCTTTCTTCGGCTTGTCCTGCTTGTTCTTCAAATCGGGTTCGGATGCCGCTGTGCTGGCCTCGTCGCGGTTGATGGCTCGGTGTTTCTTTTTCTTTTTGCGAAACCCTAGAGAGACCGAGAGACCGATTAGGGTTTAGGGGTTAGGGTGTAGGGTTTAGACGGTTTAGTTTTTAAGGGTTTAGGGTTTTAGCCCCGGCATATGTAGGTACTTGAATTCTGGGGGCCGGAAGAAAATCAAGGGCGCATCAATCAGATGTGTTGGATCAACAGCAGCACAAAATGCCTTCTCGTCAATCTCGTCAGGCATGTCCTCCACATGCATGGGCTCAGCGTCGGCGTCCACGACCTGCGCATGACTTCGAATACTAGAGTGTGGGGGTATAAGGTCCACGAAGTCAGCTTTGCCTCGGGGTTTGTTGCGCCAATGGCAGCATCTTCGGCCTGCTGTTGTTCTAAAGCGAAAAACTGCAGTGAGGCGAGACTATGTGTGGGAGCATAGAGGCATAGAGCATAGGGGCATAGGATGTTGCATTCTAAGTTTGAGGCTTACAGCTTACCTCAAACCTTCAATTACCGTAACGCCTTAAACTACTTACTTTGTCGCCTACCCAGACCTTCCAAAGCCCCTTAATTAAGGAATATACCTTAAATTATGGTAGGATCCTTAATAGTATTTAAGGTATATTCCTTAATTAAGGGATTTTGGAAGGTCTGGGTAATAGCCACGAATCATGAAACCAAATATCCCTGGGCACGTCACGCACACACACGCACACCGTTATCAACCCTGGTGCCTTCTCTGCGTCGGAGTGCAACGGCACTGTCGGCGGAACTGTCTCCTGATGCAAGGGGACTTGACACTTTGCCTGCACAGAATTTCTGACGGCTGTTGCCTCGGCCCGTTGGAACTGCTCGGTTGACTCGGTTGGCTCCAGGCGCATGGTTGGGGCCTACGCGGTCAAAGGTTTTTTGAAGCAAACGAAACTCAAACTAGCACTTGAGCCGCCTCGTCCTGCAACTCCGCACTCAACAGCTCTGTCGGCTCGACCTGCACGAACTTTGGCCGGCGACTGCAGTAAGCACCAACAGCCGCTCAAAAGCAACGTCCTTGTGTGTCTCTCCCGGCACCGACACTCCCGGCTCTTCCACAAGGGCCTGCAGGGCGGCGCGGACTTTATGTTTGGCGGGGGTTGGCGGGTCTACAGAGTCCGCATGCACATGTTCCACTGCTCTGACCTGCACGATGTGACAAGTGACTAGCAAGATCATGACGCGACTTCACAAGCAGCTGGAGAGACACCTCGGCCGGGTTGTGCTCTGGGGGCACAGCGTCAGCCTCGGGTCGTGCGACACCAGCTACAAAGTTTTGTTCGCCTGCCTGCGTGTTCACACAGTCGCTAAGCCACGCACCTGCCCCGATTCGTGTACCTCAAGAGGTCCTTGGACCTGAACCATGTTGCAGCTTGATGAAATCACGATAATACTTAAAGGATCATGGGACTTAGTAACTAGGGTTATAATTAGGGTAACTATACTTATAACCCAAATTAAGGTACTTATAACCTTACTTACTAAGTCCCATGATCCTCCAAGTACAGGAACCCCGCGGCCCAAACTCCCCAAGGTTTAAGGTTGAGGTTTAAGTTTTAAGGGACTGCAGCCTCATCGAATTTCTGGGAAAACGTGAACTTCTTCTCCTGCATGAACTGGTACCATGCAAGGACATCCTCTAGCACATCGCCCTCCGGGTCTCCAAGCGTGTAACCATCCTCTGCGCCGTACACCTCCATGGCTTCCTTCTCATACATCTCGCACTTGGGATGGGCCTTCGCAGCCTTGATGTGCACCGAAAGCAGCTCGGATTCGCTCGTGTCCCGGAGCAACTTACGTCGCTTCTCCTCACCCAGATCCACAAAGCTGTTCAGATAGTCTGCCCGTGATTGTTGCAATGAGGAAGCATCAAGGCCGCTACTGAAGCCCGGAGAGAACCTGATGTTCTTCTTCTGCAGGAATTCGTACCATCCAAAAATCTCTGCACGCACATCTCTCCCTGCGCCTCCGATTTCCCGATTGTTGTCCCCATCTTCGTCCCAGGGCTTTCCGAGGAGCTCGACCACGACGTACTTTTCGTAGTTCCTGCACTCGGGGTGGGCCTTTGCCATATTGATGTGCAACGTCAACTCGGCATTGTCCATATGCTGGATCAGCGCACGGCGCTCATCGTCGCACATGTCCACGAAGCTGTTGAGGATGTCCTCCATGGGCTCTTCGTCCTGCTTGGTGGGCTTGTCGACACCCACCATGGTGCCGTCTGGCTGAAGACGGGCTTCGGCTTCGATTGGCGAACTCTCCGACTGTGAGACACCGACGGCCTCCGCCAGCGTCATTTTGTAAGGAAAAGACAACTTGCGGAACTCTTCAGCCATGATTTTCGCGTGGAAGTCCCTCACGAATCATTGAAACAGTGAAAGACTAAAACGAAAACTGCTGTTTGTGAACATTGGCCTCTACCAAAACAACAAGCAACAATCGTAGCAAAAACAGAACAAGACACCCGGAGTGCACGGTCAAGTAGAGTTTGCAGAGGTCGTAGCAGCGACGGTGGAAGAAAGTTGGTGCAGCCCGTACCCCCACTGCACTGCCGCGCAGCGTCTTTTCGACTATCACTTGGCAAGGGGGGATGTAAAGGATGTCGCCGGGAACTAGCGTGACACCGCGCAGGGATATCAAGTAATCCAGCGGATCTTCAGTGGTCACGTACTGGCCTGCAACAAACTTCATGACTTCCTGCGCACACTTGCGTGATGTGGATCAAGATAGGCTTAGGTGTTGGGCCGTATGTAAGTTTACAAGTAGGCATTCATCTAAGACAACAGGACTCATAGGATGTAATAGCACGCCTTGAGAGGCGGCACGTTCTCAGGATCGACCGACAGATTGTTTTTGTCACAGTACCAGAAGATTGCCTCTTCGAGGTCGAGCAGGCAAAGGATTTTCTCACTGTTCACGTGGCAATACACGGCTGGCAAGCCCATCGGATTGAATCCTGCAAATCGCGAGCCCTGGGCACTTGCACACATGGTTACGCCCTGGTAGCGCAGCTGGCTCTTGCGCTTATCATCGTCGCTGTCACCCAGCGCAGAAAACCTGCACGCTAAACACTTTGGGTCGAACATGGTCAAGTACAATCACGAACTGGCCTCTCAATCAAGTGGTCCCTGCCCACGAACTGAAGATTCTGATTGTTCTGCTCATCGCAATGCTTCTGCACGAGGAGGTCCAGCGCCAACGCATCAGCTGGCCCGGAACACATGCGCACTAGTCGGTCGCTACCTGGGGGTCCTTGGTCACTACTCTGCAGCTTAATCTGGAAGTCCGAGGCGAAGGAAGCCAGCTCCTGCCCGACAGGTTTAAGTCTAGGTTTGGGGTTTAGGGTGTCTAGGGTTTAGGCCATAGTGCAAAGTGCAGGGTTTACGGATTGGTCCTGCGCAAGCATTCGAGACATGTTCACTGCGTCCACGACTCCTGGTGTTGCCTCGGGCTCACAACAGACCTAATCGCACAGCTCATAGAGACAACAAGCACTGGCTGCAAAAACAACCACACCAACCGCAACCGACCCCGCGACCCAATCCACCAACCAACAAACCAGCAACCGACCAACCAACCCATCACACCAAGCGACCATGAGCACCTCTCTGTTCATAATTCGTTCAGCAAATGCATTGCACTTGGGACTCAAAAGCTCTCGCGGAGCCTCATTATAAGCGACTCAGAAGCAACCCAACAAACCACTCAAAAGCTACCAAACACTACATCTGCTCAGCCGATAAGTCTGTTGAAAGCTGCCATGTTGCAATATAGACACAATATAAAATCACTGATGGGTGCAATGGCAGCGGCGCTCGCTGCTGTCTGCCCCGGTCTGCAAAACACGGGACAACCACGACCCCCATCGTCAGTACCCTCACGCAGGCAGGCAAGCAGGCACGCAGGCAAGCAGGCAGACACGGGGCAGGGGCCGGAACACACGAAGGAGGCGCTGCGAGGACAGACAGACAGAGAGAGAAAGTGTGTGACAGTGTGTGTATATACTATGTACATACAAACACACCTGTGTAAGGAGCGCACATCGATGGTCTTCTTGATAGCGGAGCGTCTCAAGCGCGCAACAGCAGGCACCATTCCAGCAGTCTTGGCGATGTGTCCTGCCAGATCAACTGTGGAATCGCAAACCAGCATGCAATTGTTCTTCGGCCAAGTGGAGCTTGCGGCCCAAGACTGCAGCAGGGCCGGGTCAGTCTCATCCATCTCCGCCTGTATCGATTTTCCCCGTGCACGCGCAGGACCACGCGCAATCTTCTTTTTGCCCTCCGTACCACCGCCGTCACCGCCATCCTCATCACCATTGTCGCCATCCTCACCGTCCTCACCCTCCGCATTTGCAGCTGCCGCAGCAGCTTTCTCCTCCTTGGCCTTTTTGTCAGCCGCCTTTTTTGCTTTGGCATTGTCAGCTTTGCGCTTTGCCTCCTCTTTCTTGCGCCTGCGTTTTGCATCTCTTTCCAACTCCTTCTGTTCTGCATCCCTCGCTTTGCGTAGGGCTGCAACATGGTTTCGCCACGATGTTGCTTCAGAGATGACAGACGCTGCCACTGTTTTCACCAAGTCTATTGCATCCCGGTGATCAGCAGCCATCTGGTGCACAGCCTCTGCGGTTCGCTGAAGCTCAATGGCGGTTAGCCTCACATAGGTCATTTGGCCCACTGTCTGAGCAGCTCCCCAAGGCCATCCCTGCTCCATGAAGTACGAGTCTTTGTTGAGCTCAGCCAAGATCTTCAGCCCAGACTCTTCAGACGGTTTGGCACGGGTTTCGCTGGACAGCATACGCAAACAATTCATCCTCTGCTCCACGACTGCATAGGACGTGTCTGCCTTCCTTGCATCATCCGCCGTGCCATGTTCCTCAGCGCATTGGTGCAGCATAGATTCCCCGGTTTTCTGAGCTTCCGCCACGAGTGCTACCATCTGATTCCAAACCTTGGTTGTGCCCTTCCGCATTTTGCTGGCGACCAAGGCTGGTTTCTCGGAAGCGCCATTTCGGGCCTTCGGTTTGGCTTTGGCTTTGGCCTTCACGGCTGCATCCTGGGTCACATTGCCTCTGACAGACGAGGTGCTCGGCAACGCAGGCGGGGCGGGCCCAGCTATTGCGTGCAAGCTGCCGCCACTGCTCGGCAAAATGCCGATGTCCATTGCTGCCTCGTCCTCTAGATCCAGCCGAAGGTCCCTAGCCGTCTGCACGAGCCGGTTGTGCGACAAATCTGTCGGCTGCCGCGACTCCACCACATCTTCTTTCGCCACAGCTTGCTCCTATCAAGATTTGGACAATCAGAAGCAGAAACGCCAAGAGAGACCGGCTTGTTTGGAAACGCAACAAGTGTACCACACTGCTGCCTCGAAATTGACGTGGTCTCTCGCCTCACCTTCTGCACCGATCTTGACAAGCCACAGACGCCATATCTGAGCCAGCCGGCCCAGGAAAAGACACACACACACACACGGACGTCCCTCGCAGCTCGCTCCGAACAGCTGCCGAGTTACGTAACCTGCGAAGTTGCCAGCTTTGTCATTCGATGCCACTTGGTCCTTCATCACAGACTTGTCTGCAAACATTGTCTTCCACTTCTGGTCGATGGCCGAGGGGGACAGACCTTCCGGCCATGGCTACACACTGCATGCGACATTTCAGGAAAACACAATCACGACACCTGACCAGAACAACGCACGACCGCCGAGCCACGAATATATGCGGGGCAGTCTTTGCCGAACCAGTCTTCAAATTCGATTCGGGACATTGGAACTTCACGCGCTCTGCCCTCCTTCCTGCAACCGGCCGCTACTCACCGCAAGGAACGCAACACCAGCAAACCTGCGCAAAGCAAAACCCCCGCCTCACACCAGACTTCCGAATCCTCCTGACACGGCTCCAATCGTACTGCACTCGCGATCGTCCTTTCCCTGGCTTAGGGCACCTTGGAATGCAGATGAAAGAAGGAGCAGAGCGTGGGGAATCAACCTGCAAAAATGCAGCCCAAGCACTCCTTGCAATAGTCGGCGAGCAGGCTTGCAAACTCTGCTGGATTGGACACTTCGAGTTCTTCCAGATGCTGACGCATGTTTTTTTTTGCATCCGGATCATTGTCGCTGGTAGGCTCGGAGGGATCAAGATAAGGAACAGTCTGCGCCTGCTGAAGGAAGGTGTATCTGTCCGGCTGGTGGTCCGTGCAAAGTTGCGTCTTCCTCGTGACAAATTGAAGCCGAAGTGTAAGGAACACACACACCCACACGCATGCATAAACACACATGCACACACGATGACTCCACTGACCTCACATGACTTTGCACACATACTACGTATCATGTGTTCAAAGCCGCATGCTGCTGCGGAAGACAATCTTCGTCTTGCAAATAGCGCAGCAACATTGCCCGTAAGGCACCACTGCCCCCGTAGAATCGGGAGCACCCGTCTCTGCGGCCATTGGAACTTGGTGCAACTAAGTTGTTCAATGTTCCATCACAACTAGCGAGAAGCAAAATGCTGCACAGCAATCGAACGCAAGCTCCGACGACAAGAGCATGAAATCCACACACTAGCTGCTAGCTCCTCAGTGCCAGCATTGACTGGAGCCTTTTGGACAGTGCTCGAGCCGTCCCGTGCTGCCCTGCCTGTACAGACAATCAGCCGATCTCACCGATGCTTTTGCGGCGGCAGCGGACCAAAATCACGGCCCATAAGCTTCCGATAACTGCGCAATGCATCGCCTGGATATCACAGTCGAAACAAACTGCCTGCTATTCTTCTGCATCGCTGCAATCAAGAATCGTTGCCGGCTAACTGCTTCAGCGTCGATTCCGAGAGGTTCCTGATGTCGTGGATCGGGAAGGGCTGATTGCCACAGTGATCAGGGTACATGCAGTGACCCATCGCGTGCAACGTCTCCTGCGACAGACAAGCTCCGAGTCGAGCACCTGCTGAGGCAATCATGTTATTGATAGTCCTTGGCGAAGAGCCACCTTTCTTCTTTGTCGCCAGCCGCTGGGTTATTCAGCAACAAGTACATCACTCCGGACCGCAAGAGCGTGGGGAGGAAGGGACTCACGATTGGTCGTGCTTTAGCATTCTGCAGCAGATTTGCAACCATACTCGGCGTACCTTAGCACTCCATGCAAAGGGTGTGCATGCGTGCGCGTGTGTGTGCACATGTGTTTGTCACAACTCAGCATGTTCGAGTGTTTGAGCCACCTCTTGAGAAGTTCCTCGTCACCCGCGCATGGGACTTGTAGGTCGCGAGGTTGATGCTTTTGGCTCCTGCGCATCACAGCTCAACCAACAGTTGTTCAACTGCGGCCGGCTTCAAAACGGAGGGTTTACAAGGGTTTAGGGTTTAGGGTTTAAGGTGTAAACTCCAAACCCCCTTAATAGCCTTAATGGAGAAATACACAATAAACTGACTTAAACTGCACCAATCCTGTCAATCCTGTCCTGATAGAAGTTTATCGAAGGAGGATTTCGAGGACTTGTGAAGCTTCCCAGCAGCCTTTCTCCGCTCTTCGTCGACCTCTACCTGCAGAGCACGAGACACCAGCGACATCGCAACATAGCAACCAACACTCCAGGGGTCCAGGAGCTTGAATGCCGGACTGTCGCATGCGCCCACACAACAACTGCATCACTGCTCACCAGCGTGTGCGTGCTCTAGCCGGCATGAACATGTCAGCTGCCGCAAACGAACTAACGAGAGTCTCTTGATTCCCTCCTTTCTCTGGTCTTTCTCTCCACCTCCCCGAATAGAGTTGGGATAATGTACACATGGAAGTAGACACAAGAGTAGCTAGTTCTTTTGTCCCGTACTACCATACTCCGTAATTAATACCTGCAATGGCATATGGCATGAGCTGCAAAGGTGTGATGCACTGATGCACTTCAGCATTCATACAGCACTCCTCCCACACGGAAACTGAATTCGGATTGCCCTGCCCGCCTTGGGAGCTGTATACAGCACCGCAACGTCCACCGTGCATTTTCGAAAGAGAAGTTGAAGTGTTTCATCAAGCGCCACCGCAGGCTGCATCGTGTCGAGGTTGAGCAAAACTGTATATAAACGTGGCCTGAAGAGTGGCCAACCGAATTGGTGAGGTGAGAGGAGAGCCTCGCTGCCGCTGCCATTGTCACCGGTGTTTTCGCTGGCGGGCCTCCAAATAGAGTAGCGTGGTAAGTACCTCTCAAAGACATGCCTGCTAAAGGAAGCCGTACATTCGTGGACGATGATGTCCTCGGTTGAGCAAAACTAACCGACTGTCGCACGACAGTCTAGACCCAGCTGCCCAGATTGACAAGTAAACAATCCGGCAATCCCAGCTCACGTACCCTATGGGCGGGTGAACAATCCGACACTTTGGAATTTCTGCCGCGCAATGGCAATCCCAACTCAGGTACCCTATGGGCGGGTGAACAATCCGACAGTTTGGAATTTCTGCATCTCAGTGGCAATCCCAGCTCACGTACCCTATTGGCGGGTCAACAATCCGACACTGTGGGACTTCTGTGTCCCAATGGCCACTTAAGACAAGTCGCGGGCCGCGTCAGCGCGAGCTCCGAGAGCCAAATGCTCAAGGACTCGCAAGACTTGCCCATGAGGCCTGCCATCGAGCCGAAGCGGGAGACGTCCACGCAGGTTGTCCCTGCTGAAGCGATGTGGAGACATCGCTGACCAGTGCTGCGACCGCTGCTGCAAAAGCCGTACGGGGTGGGACAGTTGCAAACGTTTGGCTGCTTACGTTTTGACTTGGTCTTAGGCGCAGCCCTGACCTGCACTTCGGCGGCTTCGGCGTGCTTCTGCACACAAGGGGCTTCTTCCCGCCACAAGGACGGGTCTGCGAGGCACGTCATGAAATCCTGGAGCATCATCTCTCCATACTTGGACTTCAGCCCAAGTTTGAACTTCTCCGAATCGGCATCAATATCCATTTCGCCTAAAATTTAGGGTGGATCTGCAGCTAGACACAAGCATTCAAACAAACAAGCCACAGAGTCAGAGGTACACACACACACACAAATCACAATACATGACATGACTATAGACTACATGCTCGCCAAAGCTCTAGTCTCTGTCTGCATCTCGTACTCTATTCGCTCACGAATACGCTTCATCGAGTCTATCGCAGCCGGTTTCAAGCGATCTTCCAAGCAGTGATGTACGTGAGTACATCGATGGTCCTGCATCAATACCAGCATACAAGCACACAGGAGCAGAACGTGAAGACAGCAAGGACAGCAAGTGTTAGTAACAGCTCCTGGCAAAGTCCGAGCAGAGCCGTCTGAGCCTCCTTGGCCTTGTCGCACGCTGTGAAGCACTCGTACAGCTTCGCAGCCGGCAGCGGCAAAGCCGGCAAACCTTCGTCGGATCCTGCTGCGTGCACTGCATGCAAACCCCCCACCCTAAGCCTATGTATGCAACTGGTCACACGGTGTGTCTCACAGCGGGCCTGCAAGTCCCTCCACAATGCTTCCCATTGCACAAAGCTGCTGCTTTAAAGTTATGGAGGCGGTACCAAGCCCCGAATAAGCATCGAAGTGCTTGATGCCATGGCTGCACAGCTCAATCATGTTGCGTCGGTGCACAGCAGCTTCCTCGCACTCTCGAAGAAGCACTTCAGCGTTGCGCTTGTGCCATTCGAACAAGCCCGCGAGCGTTGCCGGCCCATCTGGCCATGAACGTTTCATGGTTTCTCTTGCTGCCGCACAAGCATTTCTCATGTCCTGCCAAGCTGGCAGGCTGTCATGACCAAGAACCGTGGGAAGCATGACGTCCTGCTCCACCTGAGCTGGTCGCTGCTTGTTGGCGCCTAACCGAAAAAAACCAGAATTCAAAGCCAAGTCCCACCTCATCCGAAGATGCGGAGTCCTCCTTGTTTGCAGCACGGGTTGAGGTTGAGGGTTCGGGGTGATTCATTCAGGGTTGATTTTTTTTGGTGGCGGAATGTCAACAAAGTCCCCCGCCTCTTCCTGGGCTTGGGGCTCCTCCGGCTCCACCACAGATGCTGATGCGGTCGGCTCCACATCCACTACTGCGGCTGGTTCGCTCGAGTGGGAACCTGAACCTGAAGTGGAATCACTAGAGCTGGAGCTCGAGCTGGATTCGCCAGATCCAGCATCCTCGCTCCCTGCTAAAACATCACGCATCGACAAGATCCCATCTTCTCGTCCGCCATCGGGGCCAGACCTTGCAGCCTTGAGGGCACTCTCCGGCCCTGGCTGCTCATCACAAGCGCGCTTCATACCTTCGTAAAACACCTGTATCCCGGGTCCCTGGCTGACAAAAACACAACCGTCGTAGGCACCTGTGGCTGCGACCCATGACGAGCTTCATGATGCATGCCTGCTTACTACCTGCTTCTCCTGCATTGCCTAGTCCCTCGGTGAGTCTGGGTGGATAGCCGACGTGTTAGCCGGCTACTTTCATGCACAACAAGACAGGAGCAAGCACAAGACCCACGCAACGACCAATCCTCGCAGCTGCAGCTACACCCTCTCCAGTTCATTCTTTTGTGAATCACCGGGCCAACTGCTCAATAAGTCATAGTGTCACAGGACAGACTGTTCGACAAGTCGCGAAGGCCAATGAAGTCGAAACCGCTACAACAACCGAACTGGTAACCTAAATTTGTCCATCAGTGTCAGTGTTCCCAACGCCAGGATGAAAAAAATATTCTTCCTACTTGTTCCATCAATATTCACAAGGCCCCGGCTGTAAAAACAAATTCTCAATTTACCGTTTCATCAATTTTACAACAAGAAAATGTAGTTTTCTTTCTACCTGTCTACCTGTTCCGTCAGCTTCCCTATTCCCAGGCTGAAGAAAAATCCACCCCAAACTGTCTTCATTAAAAGGGGATTCCGGTAAATATGTTATTCAATGTTCCCACTGCCAGAGATAACTATTTGTTCTTTCTACTTTTGTCCATAAATGTCCCAATGCACGGGCTGGAAATATAAATCTCAGAATTTGTTTTACAGAGTTTCGGACAAAGCTTTTTTTGTTTACTACCCTCAGACGCCGTCAGACAACCCGTCAGGAAGGCTCCGGAGATTGCAAAGCCCAGATTGTTTTTCCGACTCTCTGCAGCTTCAGAACCGGACGGCTTCCGAAAAAATAACTGTGACAGCACCATTTTTTTATAAAAAAATGGTGCTGTCACAGTTGTTTTTCCACGCTCGCCCAGATTGTTTTCCTTGTATTTGCAGCTTCAGAACCGGACGGCTTCCGAAAAAAAAAAACTGTGACAGCTCCATTT